TGTCAAGGAGGAGGGAGAACTCAGTGGTGGTAGATGCCTCTGACTCATCAGGGAAGGCGGGGACCGGGAACTGACCACTGGGTTTTATGATATGTGGGTCAGCAGTGACCTTGGGAAGAAAGGTTTTGGTGAAGAGGTGGACAGGGAGCCTGACGGTGGGGAAGGAGAGAGAGACTGGACACAGAGTCTGACAGTCCTAAGGAGTCTTGGAAAGCAGGGCTGAGGGGTCAAGATAAGGAATTTAAGCCTGGCTGGCCAGTGTGGCTCAGTGGTTGAGAGTCAACATAGGCACCAAGAGGTCGCCAGTTCGATTCCCAGTCAGGGCACGTGCCCAGTTTGTGGGCCCGATCCCCAGTGGAGGGCGTGCAGGAGGCGGCCAATCAATGTTCTCTCTCATCGATCTTTCTATCTCTCCCTTCCTCTCTCTAAAAATCAATAAAGAAAAAAATGAAAAGATAAGGAATTTAAGATGGAAGAAATCATAGCATGTCTGTAAGCTGTACATTTTATATTGTATCATTAGCCCTGTTTTTTTGTTTATGCTGACCCGAGGACATTTTTCCATTTATCTTTAGACAGATTAGGAGGGAGGGAGAGAGAGAGAGACAGAGAGACACATCGACTGGTTGCCCCCCCTGCACAACCCCAACCAGGGCCCCGGACGAACTGCAACTGAGGTATGCGCCCTTGGCCGGAATCGAACCCAGGTCTCATTGGTCCACGAGTTGACGCTCTAACCACTGAGCCAAACCAGCCAGGGCTCATTAGCCCTGTTTTACAGATTGTGGAACCAAGATTCAGCAAGTTTAAGTCACAGAACATGAGCAAAACAACTAGGCTTTGAACCCCAGTCTGTCGGATCCACTCCCAACCTATGCTGCTTGAAAGGTAAGTTTTTAAGAAAACAAATTGGTACCATAGCTCTTTTTTTCACGTCTTAATATAGCATGAGCACTTTCCAATATGAATAAATAGCCAAAATTGACCTAATTAAAAGGAGAAATGTACAAATCTACAATCATATGGGCAGATTTTAATTCACTTCTCTTAATACCTGTTAGAAAAATAATAAAACTAAGGATGTGAAATATTTTAACATCAACTTGACATAACTGACATATACAAAATGTTCACACAGCCACGTACAATGCAAGTTCTTTTCAAGTACACGCGGAACATAAGCTGAACCATAAGGCAAGTCTCAAAAGAATTCAGAGGATTGAAATCATACAGAATATATTCTCTGATCACAGTGGAATTAGTGAGAGAGAAAAAAGAACATAATAATAACTAGAAAATAAACATTGGAAAAGTAAGTAGCCCTAGTTGGTTTGGATTAGTGGTTAGAGTGTCGGCCTGCACACCAATGAGTTGTGGGTTTGATTCCGGTCAAGAGCACGTACCTGGGTTGCAGTGTCCCCGGCCCTGGTCGGGTCATGTGGGAAGCAGCCAGTCGGTGTGTCTCTCTCACATCAATGTTTCTCTCTCTCCCTTTCCCTCCTTCCCACTCTATCTGATGATAAGTAGAAAAATATCCTCAGGTGAGGATTAAAAAATAGTAATAAAATAAATAAAAAAGAAAATTAAGCAAACCACATTTAAATAACCCCTGGGGCAAGGAGGAAGTTTCCATAAAAAATTTAAACTGAAAGATAATAAAAATACAACATATTGAAACTTGTGGGATACAGGCCCTGGTCAGGTAGCTCAGTTGGTTAGAGCATTATCTCAATTTGCCAAGGTTGCAGGTTTGATTCCCCCGTCAGGGCACATACAAGAAACAACCAGTGAATGCACAAATAAGTGGAACAACAAATTAATGTTTCTCTCTCTAAAAATCAATAAATAAAATTTTAAATTAAAAAAACGTGTGGGCTTCCCTGGCCGGTTTGCTCAGTGGTTAGAGTGTCGGCCCGCGGTCCAGAGAGACCTGGGTTCGGTTCCCGCTAAGGGCATGTACCTCGGTTGCAGTTTTTCCCCCGCCCTGGTTGGGTCGTGCGGGTGGCAGCCACTCGATGTGTCCCTTTCACGTCGATGTTTCTCTCTCTCTTTCTCTTCCTCTCTCTCCCTCCCACTCATCTGAGCAAAAAATGAAAAAATGTCCTCAGGTGAGGATAAAAAAGAACAAAAAGAAAACGTGTGGGCTAAAGCCACATATAAAGCAAAGTTCATAGCCTTACGTGCATAAATTAGAAAAGAAGAAAGACTGAAAATCAATAATGCAAGTACCCACCCACAGAGAGTAGAAGGATACCTGTTATCAGCACTCCTATTCACTATCATACCAGAGGTCTTAGGCAGCGCAATAAAGCAAGAAAAAAATAAGTAAAAGGATGAGGTTAGAAAGGGAGAAATGAAACTTCCATTTTCATAGATGACATGGCTGGATTCATAGATAATCCAAAGGAAAATAATCCAAAGGAATTAACAGACAAACCATTAGAATGAGTGAATTCAGGAAAGTCACTATATAAAACCATATACAAAAATCAATCATATTTCTACATACCAGCAACAGACAGTTAGACAATGAACTAAAAATGTGGACAACACCTGTATCCTAAAACCTCACAGTGAGGATTAATGAGAAAATGGGTGGAAGTCCTACCACGGTGCCTGGCACACAGTAGGTACTCAACAAAGGGCTTCCGACATTATCATCCCTGTGGTTAATGTCATTCTTATCTGCCCAGGTCCAACCCCAGCTGGTAGGGACTGGTCTCATGGGCTAGCAAAATCTGCGGCCTCCCTTTCCGGCCGTCAAATCTCTCCAAGCCACCCTGCAACCCTGCAGGGCAGCGGGCCCCTCCCCAGATCCCAGAGAAGCCTGCCCACGCCTCCGAGGGATTTCAACACAGGCGAGAAAGGTGCTCCGTGCAAAGGCAAGTCTCTTTAGTAAAAAATAATCTTATAGAAGAACATGTATTCACATGGAAATAAGATAGGAGATAGTGTAATATGAAAACATTGCTGTATTACTCCAATAAAATAAAAGTATTTGTGAATGTATGTATGGGTCTCTTTGTATGTATCTTTTTTGGTTAATCCTCACCCAAGGATATTCTTTCCATTGATTTTTAGAGTGGAGGGGAGGGAGAGGGGAGAGAGAGACAAAAAGAAACATCTATATGAGAAGGACACATCGACTAGTTGCCTCCCACATGACCCCAACCAGGGCCAGGGACGAACCACAACTGAGGTATGGATATTTTTCCATTTTTCTTCAGATAGAGTGGGAGGGAAGAAGAGAGGGAGAGAGAAAGAAACATCGATGTGAGAGAGACACATCGACTGGCTGCCTCCCACATGATCCCGACCAGGGCTGGGGACAAGCCACAAATGAGGTACGTGCCCTTGACCAGAATCGAACCCGTGACTAATTGGTCCGTGGGCTGATGCTCTAACCACTGAGCAAAACCGGCCAGAACTGTATTTATATTATAAAAAATTTTTTTCTTTATTGATTTTAGAGAGAGAGGAAGGGAGAAGAAGAGAGATAGAAACATCGATGAGAGAGAACATCGATTAGGTGTCTCCTGCATGCCCCCCACTGGGGATCGGGCCCACAACCTGGGCATGTGCCCTGACTGGAAATCGAACTAGCGACCTCTTGGTGCATGGGTCGACGCTCAACCACTGAGCCACACCGGCCGGGCTGTATTTGTATTTTGTAAAAAGGACTAGAAGGTATAGAAGTCAATGTTACTAGTCTTTATCCTGGAAGAAGAAAGAATTAGGATAATGGTTCTTTTCTTCCTTTGAGATATATATGAAAGAGCGCTAGTGTGTGTGTGTGTGTGTGTGTGTGTGTAGAGAGAGAGAAATGTTTTAGTTAACAGCTGACACCAGAAGTCCTCATGGGAGAACACCATCATTAGTTGCTGGGAGGGAAGAAAAAATATGGGGAAGTTTGGGGCCACACGGGACGCCAAGGCTGGTGGAAATTCCCTGGGTGGAGGGCCGAAGACCCCGGGTGAGCTGGCCTGGTTCTGTTCTATTTGGAGCTGTCAGCGATGCCCCACAGGGACAATCCCTTTGCCTCGTCCCCATCTGCTCCCATCCTCAGTGAACAGGGCCATATTCTAAATGCCCTCTGAGTGGAGTTTTGTGGAGCTCGAGGAAAAACCCAAGTTCCACGTGTGAGTCGGGGTGGTGGGGACAGGAGCACTGACAGCCTGTACAGGCAGAATCCTAGTGCTGGAGGCAGCCCCAGACACACCCGTGGGGGACCAGCAGGACCCCGCAGGGCTCTGCGCCCCGGGCGGCTCGAGATCTCAGGGACTGGAGCCCCCGGCTGCCACTGGGTAGCTTCCCTTCTTCACTTTGTCTACCATGAGCATACGGTACTTGTGGAACTAAAATAGACATAACTGAACGAGAATGTTTGTCGCCTTCCCAGCTGCTGGGCAGAGTGGCCGCGTGCTGACTGGGGGGCGGCTGGACTGGGTGGGCGCACCTGCGCACGAGGCTGAGCGGCGCCTCGGGTCACTGTGAAGAGCTTTCAGGATGGAAGCTGCTCGGGCGCACGGAAATGCATCCCCACCCGTGTCTCCTCTTGATCATAGGACATAAAACAGTGTCGGTGTGTGGTGAGGAGAGGCCTGTGAAGAACCACAGGCTGTTGACCTGTGAAGGGCTTAGGACAGTGCCTGACCTTTTCCTCTGTTTGTGATTCTTGTTGCTGCAATGTTGCTTGTGCAATAAAAACAGGAAGGCCTTGGTGAGCCAGTCATCTGGTTGGATGAAGGAACTTTCTTCTTTCCTCCCCAACTGTACTGCCCCTCTACCGTTGTTCCAGAGGGGGAGGTGACCCGGGGCACCTCACATCAACCTGCCAGGGGTCAGAGCCACTCACAGAAAGCCCACCAGGTGCCACATCCTGTCCCCAGTCTACAGATGAGGAACTTAAGGCTCAGAGAGGTCACAGCGGGTCATGATCGAAGCAGGGAAGCAGGCCCCAGGACAGGCGGGGGGAAGCGGGGAGCCAAGCCCGGACTCACCGTGTACAGGGACTCGGCGGGAGGCTGCTCCGGGACGGCCGTGCTCGGGGCCGGGCCCTTCCGGGCCAGGTTCTTCCACGAAGCCTGCACCTGTTTCTGTGAGGAAGCAAGTCAGGGCTGTCAGGGTGGGGACTAGTGACTCTCCGGTCACCTCCCCTGCACAGACACACCAAGGGAAAGGGTCGTGAGGCCGCACAGACTGATCACTCAGCACCCCCACTCCAGGGAATCCTGCTCCAGGGCCTGCGTCTGCCCACTCATCTGCCCGGAAAGACCGAACCGATAGACCCCCCGAGGCACTGCCCACGGACAGAGGGCCCTGCTCAGGGAGTCAGGAGCCGCAGGGCACAGTGCCAGTGTGGCAGCATCCCCAGCTACTTGTCCCCGCTACAGAGCTGACTGTCGTGGGTGGTGCTGAGCAAACACCAGCTGGACCAGGTGTCCGGTCCCACTCTGCCCTCCCTGGCTCTGTGGCCTCCTGCAGGCCACCTCCCCTCTCTGGGCCTCAATTTCTTCATCAGCAACCCTCCTTTGCAAAATTGTTGCAAGGATTCAGGGCAGTAATGAGAGGTAAGTGCTTGGCACTCAGGTGACGCTTAGGTGGCCTTCAGCACCCAGCACACACTGGTCAGGCACCTCTCGTCAGCCAGGCGGCTGGAAGAGAGGGACCGTCCCCGCCCTCGCAGAGCCAGCAGGGACCGGACTAGCGTTTTACCGAGCGTGGCGCAGGCGCTGACCCCGACTGAGAGCCGCTGGCGCTCGGGGAGGGGACAAACACCTCCCTTGGCGGGAAGGGATGCTTACGACCTGAAGGCTGAGAAGTTTGTTTGGCAAGAGAGGGAGGAGCCCTGGCTGGTTTGGCTCAGTGGTTACAGCGTCGACCCATGGACCAAAGGGTTGCGGGTTCCATTCCAGTCAAGGGCATGTGCCTCAGTTGTGGTTCATCCCTGGCCCTGGGCAGGGTCCAGTCAATGTGTGTCTCTCACCTCGACATTTCTCTCTCTCTGCCTCTCCCTCTCTCTCCCTCCCTCCCACCCTATAAAAGAGAGGGGGGTGGGAAGGCAGAGGTCCTGAGGAACTTTGAGATGGTCAGCGTGGCCAGAGAGGTGCACCTGCCCCAGCGGGTCAGGGCAGCGCGCAGGGCCGTGAGGAGCGTGGACGGGGAAACAGCAGAGCGGGAGGGGCCAGGGTCGGCGTGCTTTCAGAAAGCTCCCGCTGTCGCACCGGTGGTGGTCATGCAGGCAGGGGCCAGGGTGGTGGGAAGGCGAAGGGCTCAGAGAGACGTAAGAGGCGACACGCCAACTCCTTCGGAGAAGGCGGCCAGGGAGGCGGTCCCTTCACACCCCTCAGTGCAGGCACCACACTGCCAACCGCGGAACAGCCTCATCTCTGGGCAGAAGCTAATTAAAAACCCTGGCTGCCTGCCAATCCCCAGCCCATTTACTCGGGATTAGCTCTCGAGAGCTACTTCACTCTCAGGCAGAAGCCAGCGCCACCCCAGTCACAGCACAGCGACAGCTCGGAGAGGTGGGGCCTCATGGGGTGCCAGGTGGGGCTCTAGACACATCACCTGCCTTGTCTCGTGCACCCCTCAGTAACCTGCAAGATGAGTCTTCATATTGTCTCTGCTCCCCACGTGGGGTGGGAAGTCTCAGAGAGGGCGGGCGACTTGCCTGAGGCCACAGAGCCAGGAAGTAGCAGAGGTGGGATTTGAACCCAGGTCTGCCTGATTTCTGACAGTGCCTGGAGCTTTCGCTCCTTTCTTTTATTTGAATGTGTGGGTCTCACAGACAGTGAGGTAGGCTCTGGCATCCATGTCACACTTACAGCTTACAAGGAACTGGGTGCTTGTTCTTATTTTCATTCAATTCTCATAACAGCCTGACAAGGTGGGCATGGAATTCCCACTTAAAAAGGGGGAAACTGAGGCTTGTCCACCTAGACTGCCCTTGGTTGAACCCAGATGCCCTGTTCTCAAGTCAAGTGCCCCTCCCCTGGCCACCTGCTTTAAGGGGTCTGTCGCAGTCAGGCCTTGGCTCACCGCAGGACAGCGGAGGGGCTGGTGCCTCTCCCCTGCACATCGCCAAGGCTGGCAGGGGCCCCCCTGGACCCTGTAGTGAGCAATACCCAGGACTGGCCTCAGTACTCCTACTGAGACTGGTGGGGCCGCCAGGAGGTCAGTGCCACTGTGGGGTCGTGGGAAGGAGCCCCAAGTCTGCCAGGGGACTGGGCAGACTTCTCGGGGCTTGCACCGTCCCCTGAAAATAGGAGAGGAGTCTGAGGAAGTGTCCCAGGCCACAGGAACAGCGCGGGGGCAGGAACACCAGGACAAGCCAGGGACACGCAGAAGGGTGAACCCTCCGGTAGAAATGGCTGGATGGAAGTAAGAGCTGGAGGCTGGCGGGGACAGGGCCAGAAAAGGCAAGATGCCAGTGTCGTTACTCAGGGGGCAGGGAGAGGTCAGATTTGCATTCTCTAAGGTTCCCTCGTGGTGGGGCACTGGGAGCTGGGAGGGACGGTGAGGGGAGGAGAGGAGGCAAGAGAGCCCCTGGAATGGCTGGCCTTCCAGGGCAGCCGAGGAGGCTGGGCTGTGGCCAGGGTCCCGGGAGCGCAGAGGGAGCCTCCCTTGAAGAATCTGGGTGCATTCTGTTCCAGGCGCGGGGACGCTCCGCCCCTTGGAGGTGGCCTTGCTCCCCCGGGGACCTTGTTCCTGGCCATCGACATTCCCTTCCAGGGTGATTTTCAAATAAACACACCACTCGGTGTGGCCACCGGCAGCTCAGGAGACCCGTAGAGCCTAGGTCTCCCCTTGTAAAGTGGGGCTGACGCTGTCGTCTTGCTCACCGTGGACCGGCTCCCTCCGCTCGTCTTTCATGTCCCAGCGCTCGCTTGCCCAGCTGTTCTTTCCACAGCACTTTCTATGTGCCAGGCTTTCTATGTGGGGACACCAAGGATCCGCCCTCTAGGGCTCGCCCTCCGTGGGGGCACAGCAGTGGACACCTACGCTGGGCGTGGGGAGCGGACGTGGAAGCAGGGAGACGCTACTCCAAGTACACGGTGATAAAGACCTGGGCGGGGGGGCGGAGCCAGGGGCAGGGAAGAAGGGGCTGGGCCCTGAACAGAAAAGGCTGCAGAATGGTGGTGTCGGCAACTTGCAGTGACACACTAGTAGCTCAGGCCCAGCCACAGGAAGGGCGAGGGAGGGGCCTGGTGCAGGGCCACAGGGAACACCTATTACAGGCCCCTCACCAGGGCCACCGGGATGCCCTGCAGGGAGCGTCCCCCGGGACACTGAGGAGCGGAGGGCCAGCACGTGTCCCCACCTTCTTCCAGAGCAGCAGAGCCGTGCCCAGGACGCTCAGGACACTCAGCAGGCCGATGAAGCAGAAGAACAGGACCCTCCGGGGGTGCCTCGGGGGCTCCCGGTAGCCTGTGTCTGGGAGGGGGGCAGGGAAGCAGAGGAATTAGTGACACCGCACCACACAAGCAAAGGGGTTAGTGACAGCCCACCACCCAGAGGACCACCTCTCCCGAGGTCCTCGTTCTCACACTGGCTCTGGCTAAGCCCTTCCTGTTGGCGGCCTGATTCTGGCTAAGGTAAGCACCCCTCTTTCGCTTCTTCCGTGCCCCTGCCGTGCCCCTGCCTCAGCGAGCTGGCTCCACCGGGAGCTGCGTGTGGGGTCCTGGGCAGGTCGTCTCGTCTCCCGGGCCGCCTCTTCTCCACGTGTGAATAGTGACCACACGGGCAGTTGTGGTGAAGCTGAAGGGATGGTTTGCTGGGCCTGGCAGGTGCCTGGCCTGCACGGGGTGGAGGGAGGGGTACTGAGGGGTGAAGGGCACAGCCCAGCCTCTTCCCTGAGCCAGTCATCCTTCTCTCCTTCCCTCCCGGGCAGCCTCCCTCCCTCCCTCCATCTATCCATCCATCTGGCTGCAAAAACCTGCAGCGTGCTGACCAGGAGCCAGGCTTCGAGTGTCCTATTTATCAAGCACATGCTGTTGCCGGGTTCCAGCCCTTGCATGCAGGACCTCGTTCATCCCACGCACACCTCCGACAGGCAGGGCATTGCCATGAAGACCAGGCCCAAGGTCGCATCCTGGCAAGCAACAGGCCTGGGGTCCACACCCCGGACTTGGGGTTCCGAAGCCCCACAGCCCCTGCCAGTGGGAGTCGGAGAGGCAGGTCAGGGAGCCGTGGCTTCGGTGACGGGCTGTTCTTAATTTTTTGGTGTCATCGCTCCTTTGAGAATGCGATGAAAACTAGGAATCTGTCCCCAGAAAGATGTACACGCCCCACCTCCGCCTGTGCTGATGGGAGGCTGAGACCAAGGGACCAAGGGACATCTCTCAGGTCACCTGCCAGAGGTGGCCAGAGGCAGACCCACACCCCAAGTCCCTGCCCTTTCCCCACAAAGCTGGATGTCTCGCACCCTTGCATGGCCAGAGGCTCCCCCAGGGGGCTCTCTGCCTTTGATCTCGTGCCCCAAACTCTGCTGCGCAAAAGCCTCTGCACCCCGTGCCCTGGGAGAGCCAGGGAGGCCTCACCTCTGACCAGGATGAAGGGGCCAGCGCCGCTCATGAGCAAGCGCGGCCAGTGGGCGGTGCAGTAGTAGGTGCCAGTGGCCGCTGCGTTGGGCAGCCTGGGGATGACTCTGCACACCGTGGTGTGGGTCTGGTTCTCTGGGCCCGCCGTGGGCTGGCAGCCAGTCTGCTCCTCAACGCTCTTCTGGCCCTGGAGGTTCACATAAGAGTAGCTGACTGTGAAAGTTTTGAATTCCGGGGTGTACAGGTAGGTGATGCTACAGCTGAAGGAAGCGACATTGTTGGCCAGAGAGACCAGAATGGGGGGGCCAGTGTGGGTCACAGACTGCCCTCCTGCAGAGGAAGGAAAAGGAGACAGTGGCTTACCCGCCAGGCTGCTCAGTCCTGCCTGCTTCACGGACGAGGGTGGCTCTCTCCCACTTTTCCTGCCCTCGCCGAGGCTGGGTGTGTGCCCAGTGCACCTCCCAACACACCCAAGCAACGTGGGGAGGAGCTCCATTTCAAAGAAGAAGAGTCTGATGGTCAGGGAGGTCAAGCTGCTAGCTTTCAATCTCTCAGAGGTGGAGCTGCAACCCGGCCCCAGGGATAGAAGACTGGACCCCAGCTCCCACCACTCCCCTTCCCAAAGGCCCAGGAGCCTCTTTGGATAACAGCACAGGTCTGAGAAGACCCAATGCTGGTGAACACGCAAAGTAAAGAGGAAGGAAGCAGGGAACAAAATTAAGAAACACTTTCTGGCAGAAAGCGGCACTGCCCGGCAGTAGACACACGGAGGGAGGCAGGTCTGCCCACGGCTCTCCTGGTCTGGAGAGGGAGGCACACTGGGCATTGGCCCGGAGAGGGTGGCATGCCGCGCATCGGTCTGGAGAGGGTGGCATGCCAGGTATTGGCCCGGAGAGGGAGGCACACTGGGTATTGGCCCGGAGAGGGAGGTATGCCGGGTATTGGCCCAGAGAGGGAGGCACGTTGGGCATCGGCCCGGAGAGGGAGGCACGTCGGGCATCGGCCCGGAGAGGGAGGCACGCCGGGCTTCAGAGAGACAGAGCTTTCCCTGAATCTGAGCTCCGAGAAGGAACTGTCAAGTTTTTATTTATTTTTTTTTTCTTATCCTCACCCGAGGACATTTTTCCATTTTTTTGTTCAGATAGAGTGGGAGGGAGAGAAAAGAAGAGAGAGAGAGAGAGAAACATCGATGTGAAGGGACACATCGAGTGGCTGCCACCCACACGACCAATCAGGGCCGGGGACAAACTGCAACTGAGGTACGTGCCCTTAGCGGGAACTGAACCCGGGTCTCTCTGGACCGCAGGCCGACGCACCAACCGCTGAGCCAAACCGGCCAGGGCAGGAACTGTCACGTTTTTAACGAAGACGACAAGCTCTGCCCCAGAGCAGTGTCCAACAAGGCAGAGGAGTTCCCCATGTGGCTGTTTGGCTATGACCATGATGTTCAGTGACGGTTACAAAGGCAGTGTTGTGGGAGCTGCCTCCTCCCACCCCCACGCACCCCTCCTCCTCCTCAGAGGCACCTAGGGAAGCAGCTTGAAAGTTCCCGAAACAGCCGCCTGCCTGGCCGGGCCTCCAACCCTCCCGAGGGCTCACGAGGTGCTGACCAGCTTCTGGGCTGGGCCGGGAGGCCACCTCCCCACCCCAGCGTCAGTACACCTCGTCCCGCACCTTCCCTCTCTGGCCGCCAAACGACAGACAGTTCTAAATTGAGGTCGGCAGCGAGCAGCCAAGAACATGCTGGCCAGGTTGTTAATCGGGAGAAGATCATGCATTGGAGACGCTCAGAGGAAGCACGGAGATTTATTTTGTTGGGGAGAGCGGGGCCTCCTGCCTCTAGTGTGGGGCTGGCAGCAGGCCAGAATGGTTTCTGCTCAGGTCTCCTCGGCTCAGCCCTGAGCAGGATCCCAAGGGGAGGGAGGGAGGGCAGGCCCTCTGGAAGACTGGGAACAGGGTCGGAGACCGCCTGCCACACCAGTTAGCCCCTCAAAGCTTCAGCCACACTGATACTTTGTTTCTTACTGAGCAACTAAAGAGACAGCCCCTCCCCCGAAGAACTGAAGTCACTGGCAGTTCCAGGGAATCACCTGCCATGTCTGGGTGCCACCGTGGGTCGGCTCTGTCATGTGTCATTCATATAACACTGGTCATGGCTCGGGCGCCCCTCTGGCGGGCAGAGCAGGCGGGGATCTCGCACCCTTACCCCCCTGGGCTCTACTGCAGGGCGGCTGCTGTTGTTGATCTGTAACAGTACTGAGCTGTAAACCAGGAGTCTGACTCGGGGGCTGAGGCTTGTCTGAGAGGCAGCAGGGGCTGGGTGGGGGTGCAGAGGCATATCCCCAGGGTTCCACGTGGATCATGAAGGACAAGAGGCAAGAGGGTTGGATGGACATTCCTCGCCCTGTCCAGCAACCCCACGCTGCCGTCCTCCCTGCACAGAGAGCACACTCCCAGCTGCTGTCCCCTCTGCCTGGGACCTCCACCTCCTCACCCTCACCTGGCAGCTCCTACTCGGTCCCCTGACCCTGCTGGGGAACCATTGCTGGCTTTTTTTCTGCATCCTCCTGTGTGGTTCTTGCAGTGACCCTGTGAGCAGCCAGCGCCCAGACGCCAGGCTAGAGTTTCCGCTGGGAGCCGGGAGGATGGAACCAGACCCAGATCACCAAGAAGGCGGCCACGCCAGGACCTGCTCCCAGGCCTCGCCACCTCCCCGGGGCCTCCTGTTCGGCCTCTCCGTGTATCTAAGAGGCCACTCCAGGCCTGGGGAAGCCGGACACACTTTCAGCACTACGTGGCCACCTTCCTGTTTGTCCTGGCAGGAAGTCATTCATCCAAGTGTCTTTAGAAAATGCTCGGCAGTTGAGGTACCCTTCTAGAAAGCGATGGAATCTGCTAGTGCAATTAAGCCGATCTTTACAATTCAGAGGGATGCTATAAAAATAGATGACTATTGTTCTGTATTCTTCCGAGATTCATTATTTTAAGGTCAAAGAGTTAGGATTATGAAAACGCAGGTCTGCCGCAGAGAGGAGAATCTCAGACCTCGGATGAAACACTGTCTCCGAATAGTGAAGTGATGAGCAGTCTGTGGATCGAGGACAGCAGCCAATCTGGGGACCGCAGGCCAAAGCCAGGAGGGAGGGAGCTTTGGCCCCAGTGAGGGTGACTGGGTTCCAGCCTGGTGATTTTTGTTTTGTTTTGTTGTTTGTTTGTTAATCCTCACCCGAGGATATTTTTCCCATTGATTTTTTTTCTTAAGAGAGAATGGAAGAGGGGTGGGGGTGGGGGACATTGATGTGAGAGAGACACATCAATTGGTTGCCTCCTATACGACCCTGACCAGCGTGGGGATCTAACCTGCAATCAAAGTATGTGCCCTTGACTGGGAATCAAACCTGTGACCCTTTGGTCTGCGGACCGACAGTCTAACCACTGAACCACACCAGCCAGGGCAGCTGCCCCTTCTTTTCATTGAGGCATCAGTGCCATGGACCTGGACCCCAGCAGCCCAGCCCCCACTCCCTCTCCTGAACTTGTGCCTCCAAGAGGTCCTTTCTGGGGTGCAGGCTGCTCCAGGTGGCAGCAGAGCACCCCCCAGGTACGGCTCGGTGCTGTAGGTAGGTTCATAGTCATTTTCAGCTACTATTTGTGCGCCTCCAACAAATATATAACGGGTACTGCTGAGGTCACAGGGCCCGTGGGAGGCCTGGCAACATCCCCAGTCTAACAGGGAAGCAGAGGGAGCCTGCGGTGGGAGGGCAGGGGGTGAGGGCTGCGGGGGCGGGGGTGTCACGTTGGCCCTGGGTCTGGAGGTCATTAGCAAGCAAGCAGGAACACATATGTGCAATGGGCTAGAAATGGCCCAAGGACAGAGGGAGAAGAACGTGCATGGAAAACATGTTCTGGCTGCGTGTGACACATGCCCTGTGTCAACGCAACACCGCAACAATCCCACGGCAACTACTCCAGCCCTAGTTTCCAGACCAAAACTCCCAGAGGATCCTAGAGGCCCGAAGCTACAGCACTCCTAAGTAGTGGAGCTGGGATTTGAACCCAGGATGCCTGCTGAGGAAGAAAAGCCAGCACCTGCACCAGGCAGTGGAGGCAGAAACCCAGCCAAGTGTGACCGGGCACAGGGCTAGGGGTGTTCGGGGCAGCACCCCGCACCGTAGACAGATGCTAAAGAGAGGGTGGTCCGTCACAGTCCTGCGGAAGAACCCGTTTTCACAGCCAGAGGCTGAGGGCTGAGGGGGCTTGGAGAGAGCTGCAGGGCACCCAGCCAGCCCTGGGGCCACGGCAGACCCGGAGGGCTCCGTGAGACCCACGCAGAGCTTGTGTCCTGTGCGCTGGGTGGTGCGGCGAGCAGTGTCCATCTTGCCCCGATGACTGCTCAGGCGCAGGGAGTGAGCGTGAGGGGCCGGGCAGAGGCAGCATGGGCTGCCGAGAAGGGCAAGTGGCCCAGGTGGGAGACTGGAGGAATGTCAGTTTCCCGGGCTGAGGAGCAGGGAGAGCCACGGAGCCCAGCTGGCATGCCCCAGTGGGGCCGCTGAAGTCATTCATCCAAGTGTCTTTAGAAAATGCTCCGCAGTTGAGGTACAGACGTGCACAAGGGAGCCCCTTCCCAACCCTGCAAAAGCGCAGGGCCACCTGTCCTCAGCACCCAACTGGCAGGCCTCCTCTGCCCTTGCCCGCTCTTCCCTACCCCCAGATGGCACCTCTGGTGTGAGCCGATTTCTGGATGGGAGCCAAGGGAGCCGTGGTGAGTGTGGATGGAGAGGAGCAGAGAGGGGGCGGCATCCCTGACGGGTGAGGTCCATGGGGGTGGGCCGGCCAGAGAAAGGACCGGAAAACAGTTGCAGCCTAGTGTCTGGCAGGGCCCGATCCCCAGGGCCACCACCCCAGCCGAGCTCCAACTGAGAGCTTGGTTGTTTATTAGGCATCGCCATGTCCTCCCCTCCCCACCCTACACAACTGCCAAGCACAGAAGGTTCAGTGGGGCAGCACAGACTCCCACCCCTGTGCGCCCCCCATCCCCACTTCCCTCCATCCCTCGCTTCTCACAGCTCCGGAGACTGCTGGGAAGCGGGTCAGAAAAGCCCAGGCGCAGGTTTGGATCCTGGCTCTGTCACCTAAAGGTGGCTTTCCTTCTTTGAGGATCAGTGTCTCTCCTGCAACACAGGATAACAGCAAGGCCAAGCCTGTAGGGTTGTCACGGAACTCGGAGGGGCCAGGAACACTCACAGGCTGCCCTGGGCCAGCCTGCCTTTCCCCAGGGACAAGGAGGAGGCAAGGACATCAGATGACCCTGAGGCCTCCCTGTAGCAGAC